GTTTGTATTTTGTTATTGCTTTTTGGGGGTTGTTATGTTTTTCGGAAGCAAGGTGAATGTGGGAAGGGGGAGTTTGTGTTGAGTAGTTTCCCTCAAGTTGTGAGTAAATTCTATCTTTGTTCATTCAGCTGGTCAGTTACATTGCCACTCTGTGCCTTTCTGCCACCACCATTATCGTCTCTGTGGTCTTATCTTCCTCTTCGTCGTCATCATCGTCGTCGTTTTGTGATCGCTATTGCCCTGACCGCTATGACGTCACTACTTTGTGGAATATTTTCCCGTGGGGCTCATCACAAGCCGGCACGTTCATCCTCTGTGTTCTATCTGCCGCTGGTAGGCCAGGTGAGACAGTGGGTGGTTGGCGGGTGGGTGCTCTGATGTGGTTTGTGCCCTTTTTCGATCCTGTCCAACTCAAACATCTATCGTTCTCATCTCTTCTTTTCTTTGTAAGTTACTCTCTAGTAGTAATGGCTCTAATCGTTGACTCTTAAATGGGGAGGAGTTCTGCAGAGGGCCTGCACTTATCGTGACAAGGTCCACTGAGCAAACTATACAAAAGTGTGGATTAGGGTTAAAGTTAAGGTTAGGGTTAGATCTAGGTGTTGTTGGTTGACCGGCCCTCTGCGGAACTCCTTCCCTTGAATGACCCATTTGTGTTGTAAATGCCGTAAAACTTTCTAAAACGAAAGAAAGCACAACCAAACAACAGAGTGTGCGTGTGTCCAGTACTCAACTTCAACAATTCCGACTTTACAGGGTAAAACCAAGGCGTGCTGTGAACTACCGTGAAAACTACTAACTTGCGTCCCGTGCGCTCATAATTATGATGACCTTGCCCAGTTGCGAACGCCTTAAAACACATATCAATCGTACGCCAACTATGCCTAACCCATCAGTTTGACCCATTAGTTTGGTCCTGACCACTGCGTTCATACTACTTTAGGTCGCCATGGGTCTGACCCATCAGTTTTGACCTTGTTAGTGTAAGTGTAAGTAATCCCCGCGCCAATCCCCAGATTTTCACCGCGAGTGAACGCCCCTTGTGCCCACGTCTGGCGGCCTTGGGGGGGAGGCCGGCCGCTCACATCTGTGTTTGTTGTCTCCCGCTGACCTCG